TGAGCTCATTCATACAAAAGAAATCAACTTTCAACACGCATTTTTAAAGGCCATTTAAATACTTATCATCAACAAATGAAGTCATTAAAAAAAACGGATACTATTATTATTATTATTCGTATTTATAAGACAAAAAAGGTACTTTCAAAAAAATTTATATTCAAAAAATTTAAGAATTAGACAAACTTATTAAATTAAGTAAATCTTGTTTAATTTATTTAATGTAATATACCAGTGTTAGATTTTAGATTTGTTCAATTAGATATTTATATTGGATAGTTTTTAATTGTCTAAAATAGTTTAAACTATCCAGAATTGTTCAAAACTTTGATGGATTTTAGACAATCCAAAACTGGATTTTGAACAATTTTGGATAATCCAAAAATCATTTTGTACAGTCTAAAAATTAAATTAAGAAGTTATTTTAAGGAGGTAAATAACATTTTTTACTAAGATAATTTTTTTAATCTTTTTGATATTATATCACACAATAGAGGTCGACCAAGACATAATTTTTTTTCATTTATTACAATTTTAAAAAAAATTATCCAAAAGATAAAAATAGATAATGTATATATAAATGCTACACTGAGATTTTAAAAGAAGATGCTAAACCTATGATAAATAGAAAGGAAAGAATTAAAAAACACTTGGTTAACTGTGAGCATTTTTGGAATAAATATAGTGAAGAGGCAAAAGACATATTAAAGAATGTGATGATAATGATGATGAAATACTACTAGCAAAAAATATACATCTTAATAGCTAGTATTTATTTAATTTTATTTAACTTTCTTTTTTTTAAAGAAATATTAATTAATTTATAATTTTATTATAGATGTTTTCTCATCTATTTTAAGTTTTTATACGAATTTTATACAATTATCATCAGCTTCAAGTAGATTTTTACAATAATCATCTATATTTAAATATGTTGTATAAAGTATTACTAAAACTGAAACTCTTAAATTTTATGAACTTTTAATTAGAATGACAATTGCGAATGGTTAAGCTTTTTAGTAGATTGACAATCCTTTAACTCATGCTTTATTTCATTAGTTAAATCTAAAGTTAAAATTACTAAATCGAAAGTAACTAGCTGATACTATCTTAGATAATGCAATTAAAAATATTAAAAATACACGTAAAGATAAGCTAAATCAAGTACATAAACAAGCTGGTATTACTCTTGCATTTGATGGTTGGAAAAACATTGTAAATCAAGAGTTACTTGAAATTATGATTATAATGCCTTCTGGTGAAATATTAGTATGAAAGGCTGTGAATATAAGTGGCCAAAGAGAGCGAGCAATTGATGTTATACTATATATTGACACTGGTCAAAATCAAAAAAATCAGACATGCAAAAATCAGCCTAAATTCAGCCTAAATTTAGCAAATTATCAAAAATCAGCCTAGCTGATTGGTATACATCAGAAATCAGTCAAGAATCAGCTAAAATTCGACCTATCTTATTTATAGCCGATTGGTATACTTATAGCTAATTGGTATATATCAAAATTTGACCTATCTTATTTATGACCAATTGACGTCTGATTGGAACAATAGGATATTATCGTTCTTTAAAAATGATAGTATTATCGTATCTAAAATACGATGGTTTTATCATTTTTAAGAAACAATGCATTTATCATACCTTAAGTACGACAATTTATCATTCTTAAAGTACGATGATATTATCATTCCTTAGCACTGGTCGAAATAGTCCAAATCAGACAAAAATCAGACATCTAATTTTATTCAGAATCTTAGATGAAAGACGTCTGATTTTTCTAAAAAATTTAAATTCTGACTGATTGCCGATTGGCAGCCAATCAGACATACTTTGGAAAGAAATTCAGATAAAAATCATATGGAATTCAGAATTAAATTTCATCAAAAAATGGGAAAATAATAAGAATTTGTTTATAAAATATAGTATATACAGTATTTGATTATTATACGAAATGTTCAATATATAATTTAATTATAGTCTTTCCTCCACCTAGTCTAAAACTAGTTGAAATTAAAGCGAAAGTAAATGGTAAAAATAAAGTGAATAGAAAAAAATATATATATATAAGTAAAATAAAAAAGTAAAATAAACAAATATAAAAGAGAATAAATTTTTCGGTAAGTTTGACAGATAAATTTTACTAACAGAAGCAGGAATTTGCCGATTTGTATGTCTTTTTAAATGGTTTTGATATAAAAAGGCTAAATAAAAGCTAATTAAAAAATGTAAAAAGAATAAAATAAGACAAATGGAAATACGTTAATAATCATCCATAACATCGTCATCAGAAATGGCTCACATTTTTTGACTGTCAATTAGAACTATTTCTGTTTCGTTAATTTCGTATTCCTTTTGCCTTTCTTCAGTTTATTTTTCTCCAACTTGTAAACTTTCTTTGTCTTCTTGTCTTTCTTCATCTTCTTGGCCATTAATTTCTTTCTGTGTTGAATGCCATATCCTTTTGTTCGATATATGCTCATTTAGGAGTATTTTTTGGATACATATAATCGAAGTGTTGCAACTCATCATCATATTATCGATCTCTTTATAACTTAACCATTTGAATTGATTCAGAATGACGATTAAGAATATTTTGAAATAGTATTTTCAGCTAAAAAAAAAAAATATTACAAAATAAAATAAATCAGACATGAAAAAGAAAATAGACTACAAACCTCATTTAAGTACCATGAGTAATCATAAATACAGATGATGGTTTACTCAGATCTTCCTCATCATCTTCACTAATTTCAGGTGAGTGGTATAATCGATTAGCTAAATTCAACAATAACTCGCGTTTCTCATATTTCATAATTTGTTCATACCCTTTTTTATAAAGGTCTTTCGCGGCTTTCACTTGGCGCAATCTTTTCTAAATAACAATTGATATAAAAAATTAGTATATATGATGTATGACAAAAAATATATATATAAATTTGTTAATTTTAATATTTACGTCTTGTATCTGACCGTTATTATAAACATGATGATTATCTTTGGTAATTCTTCTGGTACTCTTCAACTTAGATTGCGAACAACAGGACTTGTGAAGGCTATTAAGCCATTTCGTTAGTTGACCAACTGAAGGACGAAAATGTGACCTCAACGCTCTCTGGAGCTCCAGAATTAGTTTGCTCAGGATTCGAATGTTTCGTTCGCTATTGAACGTCTCATTGTAGTCAATATTATTAATTGGCTTGATTGTTTTTAGTATAACCTTCATCTCGTTCTAAATAAAAATTAAAAATCAAAACAATTAGTATAAAAGTATAAATCTGTTCAATATATACTGTACAAATTTACATACCCTTGCTTTCGTTTCTTCAGATTCTTCCATCAAGCTGCTACTTTTTGATAATTCATAATTCTTATCATCAGCATGGCATAATGGTTTTTTTCCTTTCTTCTTTGATTTTTATCAAATTTAGGACGTTTTATCAATCGCTCATTATCAGAACTGGAAGAGTTATTTAATGTACTAAATGATGATACAGAACTTTGGCTTTGACTAAACGCTTTTTTTAGTTCTGCGTTTTTATTTTTTAATTCATCATTTTCGTTGCTAAAATCTAAATTAACACCAGTAAGTATTTCGTTGTCCTCCCTTAAACGATTTATTTCACAAGATACTTTTCCACATGTTTTGATAATTCCTCATTTTGTCATTCTAACTGATTGTATTTCATACGTAAATTGGATAATTTTTTTGCTAAATTCTGGTAGTTGTCCTCTGTGTAAAAAATATAAAAGATATAAAAGTCATTAACAAAAAATAAACTGATAATATATATATACTGACCTGATAAATCCATATCATCGCTGGGAGTTTTTTTCCTATATTCTTCCCTTTTTCTGATGCTTCTGTTACTACGTCTTTTTCATATCTTGATGGTAGCCGAATACCATACCTTCCTTTTATAGCTTCTAATTTTTCTAGGTTGATGGATAGTTTCTGAGTCGAAGAAGCTGAAAAGGATTTGAAACTAGCCGAAAAAGCTGAAGAAAAAGGGCTGAAGCTAGTTAAATGATTCGAAGAAGCTAAAAGGATTTGAAACTGGTTAACTTGGTTTTTTAGGACAAAGAAGCCAAAGGAAAAGGGCTGGAACTAGTTAAATGATCTGAAAAAGCTAAAAGGGGTTTGAAACTGGTTAACTTGATTTTTAGGACAAAGAAGCCGAAGAAGAAGGGCTAGAACCAGTTAAATTGGATTTTTGTAGAGAAGAAGCCGAAGGAGGTCTGAAATCAGTTAAATTGATTCTTTGAACAAAAGGAGGTCTGGAACTAGTCAAATTGATTCTTTGAACCAAATGTTTGGGATTATCAGACTCCTTTTTAGTCAATTAGCTTAATGAACGTGAACGGATATTATTTGAACTTTTATTACTTGAAATTTTTCTCTTTGATTCATATTAATTGACAGTAATGTAGAAAAGTATAAAAGTGAGAAGTGAGGATAGTCATAAAGAAAATGAGGTCTCTTTTATAGTTTCAAAATAGGTATCAAATCATCTTAAATATCAATCAACTTAAATATACTTTGATTAATCAAATTTTAAATTTTATTATAAATATCAAATCAACTTAAATATGCTCATAAATTTAAATGTTGATGTTTAATTTAATTAAAGTGGTTTAATAAAATAATAATATTCAAATTGAAATTGTGTATCTTTATATCCTTTATCAGCCGATTTTTATAATATTCAAAAGCTTTAATTTCGTTACCATTATCTTCTTTAAGTCTATAATAATATCTTTAACAAATTGACATCATTCACAAAATAATGAGAAAAAGGTCAATATCAAGCGTACTTGATGAAGATCCAGATAGACCTTATGCAAGACCTTCACCACCTTCATTACGTATACAAAGAAACAGAACCATATTTGGTATACTTGAAGAATCTTCAGAATACTTTCCTTCTGCAACATCACATAGTGAAAGATTGGTCACGTGTGATTGTATTAAATGCAATAGGAAATTGGTTGACTATTATACAAAAGTTCTTCACAAAATTAATCAAAATCTAAAGGATGAAATAAATCAAAACTTAGAAGATAATTCAGAAGAGACAAAGATTGAGAGACATCCACCTGATGAGACATCGACCAAATTCCAACCAGAAGCTGAATTTCACAGAGATGATCAATATGAAGATGGGCATACTGAAGACGACGGAAATGAATTTAACTTCTTACCTTGACAACGATTAAAAAGATATGTAAATCGACTGATTATTGCTGTTAAATTAAAAGATACAATAACTGATACTTCTGAATGTATCATAGAAGAAGATGAAAATATCAATATTGGTAGTTCTAATTTTGATTCATTTCCTGAAACTTTATATCTTGCGAGAAAGACACTCAACCTTAAAGATAAATTTCATAGTTTTGTGACTTGTCCTAAATGTCATAAATTATATAATAAATAGGAGGTAAAAAATTTTCGACAAGATGAATACCTTACTGTTATAAAATACCGTTATGTCAAATTCCCTAATTCAACAACTCAAAGATTAAGATTATATCAAACGCCTTTACCACAGCAAACAAGGTTATTAAATGATATTTTGATCAAACCTGAATTGATATTTCCGTTTGTTAGTGTTAGGAAACAATTGAAAGCCTTGTATCATTGACCTTTTTTTGAAGGTTTCTTACAGCATTAGGTAAATCGGCCAACTTTCAATAATATATTATCTGATATCTATGACGGTAATATTTGGAAAACTTTCAAAGAAGGTACAGATGAAAATTCAAAAAATTTTTTCCGATATGATGTTGCCAATTCGCATCTTGGGTTGGTTTTGAATTTGGATTAGTTTTAACCTTTCAAAGGTATAATATATAGCACTGGAGTATTATATGTCACAATCTATAACCTTCTGAGAGATATCTGATTCAAGCGTGAAAACATCTTAATTCTCAGATTGTTACCTGGTTCAGATGAGGTTAGCTTGCATAAAATAAACCACTATCTGGCACTAATTGTAGATGACTTAGTATCACTTTAGAAAGGTGTGACTTTAAATCAAACGTATAAATGTCATTAAGAAAGAAAAAAATATGCGCAGCTCTAATACTTGTTTCATGTGACATACTGGCTGCAAGAAAGATATGTGGTTATGTTTTTGCTTTAGTGGCATGCCATAGATGCAAAAAGAAAGCAAATTATGAAAACAGACAACACAATTTTGCTAGCATGAGCAATATAGATGATTGGTTTATTTCCAGAGATCCAGGCCAACATCATCAAAATGCTTTGGGATGGAAACGCTGTAATTCAGACGCATCAAGAAAGCGGTTTGTAAAGGAAACTAGTGTCAGGTGGTCCAAATTACTACGTCTTCCATATTTCAATCCTGTTCAATTTATTACAGTCGATCTGATGTACTACCTATTCCTGGGCATTGCAAAGTGGATTATTAGGAGAATTTGAATGGAAGAGGATATAATTACGCTGCAAGTTTTGAAAATAGTACAGAAAAAAATAGACGAATTTAAAGTTCCGTCAGATTTGGATTAAATTTCGGGAAAAGTCGATTGTGGCAATGGGTTTTCAAATTTTACTGCAGATCAATGGCAGATATTCTTTACTGTATATGCAACAGTCTCTCTTTGAGAACATCTTCCAGAGAAAGATCGGAAGATTCTTGTTCATTTTGTGAGAATCTGTTCAATTCTAGTAAGTCGAATAGTAGAAGTCGATTTTATAAGAGAAGCCAATCAGAGGTTGATTAGTATAGTGAAATTAATAGAGAAAAATTACGGTCGTGACAAAATTACACTAAATTTACACCTGTTACTTCACCTATGTGAATGCTTATTTGATTATTGTTTATTGTATACTTTTTGATGCTTTTCCTTCGAGCGTATGAATGGGATGTTAGGTATTGTATTTTTAATATTTTCAATTGCCTTTTACTTATTTTCATTTAATAACATATTGGTAAATTTAGGATCGTTACCAAATAGCAGGAGAAAGATTGAATCAAAAATTATGCGTCGTCCGATATTTGATAATCAAATTAGTAATATCATTAATTTTAGTATAGAGATAAAAGGCTTAGACTTGCTTAATAATCGACCATCTGTTGGTTCACTTTCAGAAGCTGACCAATTTTCTGCTGATGAAATGCAACATTTTTGATTGATTTTCAAACACATTCATCAATCAAATGTTACTGGAAAAGAACCATTTCCAGGCGAAATGCTTAGACTAATGTCAAATGATATTATAATTACGAATGATATGCTTGACTTAATAGTTGAGTATTATATGGTGACTTATGAAATATTCACATTTCGAAGGCTATTTGAAAAGAGTACAAAAGATTCGATAATAATAGCCATTAAAATGGATCAATTTGGACGATGTCGAATTGGTTCTGAAGTATTCAGTTCTTTGATGTTAACTCATCATGTAAAAAATTCGTTCGTTTTGGCAAAATTTATGACAGATAATGGAAATGACGATTGTTTTTCCAGTCAAATTCAGTACTTTTTTATTCGCACTGTTAATTTGCCAAATATTGGATTATCTGAACATAATTTGGCATTTGTTCGTTGGTATAAATCTGCAGAAACATCAAGGATTCAGTATCATTTTAGTATTGATGATGAAATATGCAACGTAGAATTATGGAGCACTGAATTTTATCTGATTTTGCGAGACTGTATTATCCCTGTCCATCACATTCTTAGTAGATTTATACCAACAAAGTACTGGATTAAAACAAAAGATTATTTAGCAATAAATCCTATTAATAGAAAATATCATATTCGCTAATTTTTGATTATTTGCATCAATTTTTATATGGAGAAATGAGTTTTCGAAGGACTTATTATTTCATAATTTTCTGACTAAATAAAGTAAATTTTAGTATATTATTCAGATATGTCGAATTTTGTATTTTTTTTTAATTGGCTGTAAATTGGAAATGTTGAAATTAGTGATTTTTCTGATTGGCTGTAAATCGTAAATGCCGAATTTGGTAATTTTTCTGATTTTTGACTGAATTTAGTTGATTTTCAGCTGATTTGTCTTATGTCTGATTTGCTTTATTTTGACCAGTGTTTTATTTTTCTTAATAATAAATTATTTTAAATAATTTATAAATAATACTTTTATATACAAAATTTAATTTGAAAAACTTTTACTTAATATATTAAAAAAAGCTTTATAGATAAAATTTTCAGTTATCTTGAAATTTTTAAAAAAAATTTTTTTGCTAAATTATTTATATTAACCTAATTTTAAATTTTGATTAAATAAAATTAAGATTATTATAAATTAGATGCATAACACGTTATTACAATTAGATTTATCCTTAATTTATATTATTAACTATTATGAAATTAAGATAATTATATTTAAATAAAAATTAAAATAATTATATTAAAAAAAATTATAAATAAATATTTATATAAAGTTATATTAAATAAAAAAATAAATTAATAAAATAAATTTAATAATTATAATAAGTAATAATACTATTTAAGTTGTTTAAATTATATATAATTAAAGTTATTTATTTAAATTTAAATTTATTTTAAAAATAATAATCTTTAATTTTACTAAGTTTTTATTAAATTTTAAATATAATTTTTTTATTTAATAATTTTTAATATAATTTTATTTTTTTTTATATTTAATAAATTTTTAATAAAATTTTATTAAATTTTATCTTTTACTATTTAAAAATTATTTAATAAAATTATTAAAAAGAATTATGTACTGTATATAATTTTTAGATAAAAATTAAATTTTTAACAAAACTTTTCTTAATATTAAATGATAAAAATATATAAAAAAAATTTAAAATATTTATCCCTTCGTCTGTAATGCAAGCAAATTTGCCTGCAAACATAAAAAAAAGTATTAATTTTTTAATAAAAAATAAAATATTAATATTAATAATATAATTATTATATAAAAAATA